AATATTCACTCTTAAAATATTTTTTTCATTGAAGTATAGTTGATGTACAATATTATATTGGTTTCAGGTGTAAAACAGTGGTTCAAAATTTCATAGATTGTACTCCATTTGTAGTGATTATAAACTATTGGCCATATTCCCTGTGATGTACAATGTATCCCTGTAGCTTATTTCCTTTACACACGTAGTTTGCACCTCTTAATCTCCTACCCCGATTTTGCCCCCTCCCCTTCCTTCTCCCCACTGACAACCACTGTTCTGCTCTCTGTATCGTGAGTCTGTTTCTTTCCTGTTATATTCGTTCGCTTGTGGTATTTTTTAGATCCCACATAGAAGTGATAACACACAGTATTTGCCTTTCTCTAACTTACTTCACGATGTCTAATACCCTCCAAGTCCATTCACACTGTTGCAAATGGTGAAATTTAATTCTGTTTTGTGGCTGAGTAGTATTCTATTGTGTGCATATTTGTATCTCAATCACATCTTTTTTTATCTATTCATCTATTGATGGGCACGTAGGTTCCTTTAATGTCTTGGCTATTTAAATAATGCTTCTATGAACAATGGGTGCATGTGTCTTTTTGAATTAATGCTTTCATTTTCTTGGGATATATACTCAGAATTGGAATGCTGGATCATATGGTAAAGTTCTATGTTTAGTTTTTTGAGGGCGCTCCATACTGTGCTCTATAGGGGCTGCACCAATTTACATTCCCAACAACAGTGCACAAGGTTTCCTTTTCTCTGCATCCTCACCAACACTTACTACGTGCGGTCATTTTTTTAACTGAAATATAGTTGACGTACAATATTATGTAAGTTACAGGTGTACAATATAGTGATTCACAATTTTTAAAGATTATACTCCATTTATAGTTACTATAAAATATTGGTGATATTGTCTGTATTGTACAATATATCCTTGTAGCTTATTTTATATATAATAGCGTGTGCCACTTAATCCCCCACCCCTGTAAGTGCTCTTGGTCTAAAGTGTTGTTTAAGGCCTGTGTTTCCTTATTGACTTTCTGTCTGGATGCTCTGTCTACGGATGTAAGTGGAGTGTTAAAGTCCCCTACTGTTATTGTGTTTCTGCCGTTTTCTCCCTTTATGTCTATTAATATCTGCTTTATGCATTTAGGTGGTCCTGTGTTGGGCCATATATATTTACAATTGTTATATCGTCTTCTGGGATTGGTCCCTTGACCATTACGTGATGTCCTTCTTTGTCTCTTGTAACAGTCTTTGTTTAAGTCTGTTTTGTCTTATGGCTTCCATTTAAATGGAATACCTGTTTCCACCCCCTCACTAACAATCTGCGTGTGTCTTTGTATCTGAAGTGAGTCTTGTAGGCAGCATATGTATGGGTCTTGTTTCTGTATCCATTCATCCACTCTGTGTCTTTTGATTGGGGCACTTAGTCCATTTAAATTTCAAGTAGTCATGGATAGGTATGTATTTATTGCTACTTTGTTAATTGTTTTTATAGCTCTTTTTCTTCCTTTCTTCTTTTGTTCTCTTCCCTTGTGATTTGATGACTATCTTTAGTGTTATGTTTGGATTCCTTTTCCTTTTTGTGTGCATCTATTACAGATTTTTGGTTACCATGAGGTTTATATGTGGTGTTTTATACATATATAAAAATGATTATTTTAAGTTCCTGATCTCTTAATTTCAAATGCATTTTACCCTGCATTTTAACCACCCTGCATTTTTACTCCCCTCCCTGCATGATTACTGCTTTTGATATTATATTGTACATCTATTTGTTTTGTTTATCCCTTAACTGCTTATTGTAGATGTAGATGATTTTACTACTTTTGTCTTTTTAACCTTTGTCTTTTAGCTCTGTGCGAGGTTGATTTACTACATATTTGCCTTTACTGATGAGAGTTTTCCTTTCATAATCTTCACGTTTCTAGCTGTGGCCTTTTCTTTTTCACTTAGAGAAGTTCCTTTAACATTTATTGTAAAGCTGGTTTGATGGTGCTGAACTCTTTTAGATTTTGCTTTTCTATAAAACTTTTGATCTCTCCATCAAATCTGAATGAGATCCTTGCTGGGGAGAGTGTTCTTATTGAAAGTTTTCCCCCTTTATCATTTTAAACATATCATGCCATCTCCTTCTGGTCTTTAGCGTTTCTGCTGAGAAGTCAGGCTGTAGCCTTATGGGAGTTCCCTTGGAAGTAACTTGTTGCTTTTCCTCACCACTTTTAATAGTCTCTCTTTACCTTCAGTTTCTTGCCATTTTAATTACAGTATATTTTGGTGTGGTCCTCTTTGGATTGATCCTCTTGGGACTTTCTGTGATGACTGGACTTGAATGTCTGTTTCCTTTCCTGGGTTAGGGAAGTTTTCAAGTTTCAAGTTCTCTGCCCCTTTCTCTCTTCCTCTCTTCTCTTCTCCCTGTAATGTGAATGTTATCCTAGAGGTCTCCTAAACTGTCATTACATATATATTTATCTTTTTTCTGTTCTGCATCAGTGCTTTCCATCACTCTGTCTTCCAGCTTGCTGATATGTTCCTCTGTATCATCTCATCTAGTGTTGATTCCTTCTAGAGTATTTTTCATTTTAGTTATTGTATTCTTCATCTCTTTTTGGTTCTTATTTATTTATTTATTTGAAGTATAGTTGATTTTCAGTGTTAGTTTCTGGTGTACAGCACAGTGATTCAGTTACACACACACACACACACACGTACATTTAGCTCTTTGTTAATAACTTCCAACTTCTCACTCTGTTCATCCAGTCTCCTCCTGAGCTCTTTGATCATCTAACCTTGAACTCTGTATCAGGTAGATTGCCTGTTTTCTCTTCACTTAGTTTTTCTTCTGGGCTTTTATCTTGTTCCTTTGGAACATGTTCCTCTGTCACCTCATTTTGCTTAATTTGCTGTTTGTATTGCTGTGTATCTGGTGGTTGGTTATATTTTCTGACCTTGGAGAAGTGGCCTTTTGTAGGAGATGTCCTATCTGTCCCAGCAGCACAAACCCCTCTGGTCACCAGAGTTATATGCTTTAGGGTTGCCCTGTTTGTAGGCTGTGTGGGTCCTTCTGTTGTGGCAGGCAGACTGCTATGTGTGCTCTGGTAGGCATGGCTGCCCCCCTGGTCCAGTCGGTTTCCAGAGCCTGCCTTGCGCAGAGGCTTCCAGCTGCTGATTGGTGATGGGCTGGATGATAAGCAACTGA